CTCCTGGAAAAGCTGCAGCCCATGGCTTGGACAGGGGCACTCTGTGCTGGGTTAGGAACTGGCTGGAGGGCCGGGCCCAGGAAGTGGTGGTGAACGGTGCTGCATCCAGTTGGCAGCTGGTCACTAGTGGTGTCCCCCAGGGGCTAGTTCTGTTTAATATCTTTATTGATGATCTGGATGAGGGGATAGAGTGTACCAATAGCATATTTGCAGATGACATCAAGCTGGGGGGACGTGTTGATCTGCTGGAAGGCAGGAGGGTTCTGCAGAAGGACCTGGACAGACTGGAGAGATGGTCTGATTCCAATGGGATGAGGTTCAACAAGACCAAGTGCCGGGTCCTGCACTTTGGTCACAACAACCCCCTGCAGCACTACAGGCTGGGCACAGAGTGGCTGGAGAGCAGCCAGGCAGAAAAGGACCTGGGAGTTTGGATTGACAGGAACCTGAACATGAGCCAGCAGTGTGCCCAGGTGGCCAAGAAGGCCAATGACATCCTGGCCTGGATCAGGAACAGTGTTGGCCACCAGGATCAGGGAAGTGATTCTTCCCCTGTACTCAGCGCTGGTGAGGCCACCCCTGGAGTGCTGTGTCCAGTTCTGGGCCCCTCAGTTCAGGAAGGATACTGAGGTGCTGGAGCAGGTCCAGAGAAGAGCAACGAGGCTGGTGAAGGGACTCAAGCACAGGTCCTCTGAGGAGAGGCTGAGGGAGCTGGGGCTGTTCAGCCTGGAGAAGAGGAGACTCAGGGGAGACCTCATCACTCTCTACAACTCCCTGAAAGGAGGTTGTAGCCAGGTGGGGGTTGGTCTCTTCTCCCAGGCAGCTATCACTAAGACAAGAGGGCATGGTCTTAAGCTCTGCTAGGGGAGGTTTAGGTTGGATATTAGGAAAAAATTTTTTACAGAGAGGGTAATCAGCCATTGGAATGGGCTGCCCAGGGAGGTGGTGGATTCTCCGTCCCTGGAGGTATTTAAGATGAGACTGGATGTGACACTTAGTGCCATGGTCTCTGTAGTATGGCCAGTCTTCGCGAGCGAAGATTTGGGAAAGGTCATTAACCCTTCGAGCCTGCGCAGTGGATTTTTTAGGTGAGACCCAGTGTGCGCTGAACTGAGCCCACCCTTTAATCCTGAGGTTCATCTGCCGGGGCCGAGCAAGCTTGGACAGTGGCAGTGAGGGCCCCAGAACGTAGGTTTGTTTAGAGTGACCTTCTCTTAGATGGATTGCCTTACAGGGCTGACGAGCTCCATCTGCCCCGGGGGGCTGGGAATCGAACCCGGGTCGCAGCGGTGAGAGTGCTGCACCCTAACCACTAGACCACTAGGGGCCCCCAGACCACCATGGTCTAGCGTCAGCGATATTGGATCAAGGGTTGGACTTCATGATCTTGATGGTCCCTTCCAACCGAACTGATTCTATGATTCTGTGATTCTATGAATAAATTGTAGAGGAAAAGCTAAATAAATTATTTGTGCTTCTCAGATCTGTGCTTAGCATCAGAAATAAGAATGTCACACTAAATTTTAGGAGCAGAGAGCTTCCCAAATTCTGCATCATGTCCTTGTATCCTTATATGATACAGGGCTGTATAGTAATATTTTGATGCCTGCACCCCTGCATTCAAGTAGTCCTAAAGCAGAATGGGCACAGCAGGATAGGAGTTGAAAGGTAAATTTCTGGATTTATTTGCATTCCTTAGGAAGACTTCCTGAACTTTAAGAAAACTTAGTTTGGATGTGTTTGTTTTTTCAGGAAGTCTTTCTGCACTTTATGCCAGTTTAGTTGTGAATTGTAGAGCAGTACTGAAGTAACTCCTGTTTTATTTAGAACACTGCAGTTAGCTCTTGTGCTTAATGCAAGCCCATTCTTAATAAAAGACTGTATTATTTTTTAAATATCTTGAGTCAGTTTCTATAAATTAGTTTTATTTATGTTGTTTTCTTTTAGCTTCTAGCATTTCTTATAAATGCTTTTCTTAAGAGATTCCTCTCCCCTCCCCCAAATTGAGTGATCTCTTTTAAATATCTTTCCTGCTGCACTTGGTAAGCAATGAGTGTTTAACTGGATATATCAAGCTGTCAGATAAATAGAGGGATTAAACCCAGCAATGTTGGTCCTTTTTCACTTTCCTGGCAGGGTGACAGATAAATTAGTCCCTCTGGTAACAGAATCATCAAACAGCATAGGTTAGAATGTACATATTACATTATGTACACAAAAGTGTGTAAATATGTATATTTTAGGATCTTTTTGCATCTGTTTATGGACACACTGATGTCACGTTCTTAACTGTGTCTGATAATAATCCTTAGAAGTAACTTCCATAATTCACCTTGTGAGGGGAGACAGTTCTACATCAAATCCAGTTTTAATGAGGAGCTCTGTGGGTACATCAGCTGACAGCTGGAAACTCTGAAACCTCTCTGTTCACTCAGTATCCAGATAAGGGTGGTTGCTGGAGAAATTGGGCAAAGGAAGTAGAAAAGCTTTGAGAAACTCAGTTTTATCCCTGACCAACCCTGTTGGTGGCATGGGACTGTGGGGATTGCTTGTTCTCAGACTGCTGGAAAGGATATCAGTAAAATATGAGTTGAACTGCAGTTCATTGTAGATGTTCTGACAAGAATGATGTTTACAGAAGTTGATGGCAAATTGACTTCTGATTTAAATAGGCATTGGTAGCTGGAGAGATAAAATAAGCATGAACATCTCATCCTGGCTATAATCAGGAAAATGGCCTTTGGGTGATCATCTGGCAACACAAAGGACAGACATGAAAACTTTCTGCAGAAAATTTTATTTTCGTACATCTTGATAAAAATTCAGATTTTTCCATATGTTGGATCTGTAAGTTCCTATTTTTTTACTTTATTTAGAATATCAGATGCAAACTTTCAGATAGACAAAGTGTTATTTGATGTTGCCATATATAGAATATAAATATTAAAATATGTGAAGATTTTTGCAGATCAATGAATTTGTTTAATTCTAACTTCAACTATTTCCCGTTGATACAGTTGACAAACAAAAATACTACTATAAGAAGTCACTCAAGTTATATTGTTTATTGTTGTAACTATCATTTTCCAAAGTTTATGCTAAGGAGTTGGGTAAATTTGGTTATGAAATGGAAGAAAAACACAAAGGAATTAAAGAAAATCACACCAATTAATTTTGAAACATTACTTTATAAACAGACAGGTGTGGTATGAACCATCCTGTGAAATACTCCCCCAAATCCTCCTCTGTTTGACTTTGGTTTTAAAAATGAGCTCTGCAGACCTTATTAAGCCTTGCTTTTCTGAAGTTAGTGTTATTAAAACATAAGGAGGTAGAAATGAAAAATAAAATCCCGTTTTAGAAAGATTTCGCCAAGTCCCTTCTCAGACATGGTCCACAGAAAAGCCCTGCTGTCTTTTAGGGTTGATCCAAAGGTTTGTGCTCACCTCTAGGTACCATACAGCACATTATAAATAGTTTAGTGCTGAAGTGGTGTTTTTTCATGTGGCTGTAGTGAGGACACATGCTAATTTAGCAAAAGGGAGGAATGTGTTAGACCAGATTATTGGTGGAGGTTGGAGCAAGTAAAGAAACACAAGCAAGAAAAGAGCTGATTGTTACTGGAGGTTGAGGAACACGGGCCGGTTGTCTTTTCACTTGATTTAAAATGTTTGCTCCTTCTGAGGAGTGCTGGGGAGAGGGGAATCCCAGAGGGTATAGAGACTGAAAACTTAATTGGATCAGTCAGTTAAAACTAAGGCACTGGAAGGATCATCTGGGATGTGCTGAGAAAAGTCGGATCTCTAAGACTCACTTAAGTTGACACATGTGGTGGAAATTAACTCTCCTGTTTATCAGTTGAGCCTCAGAGATGTATTAATCCTTTCAGGTGGGAACATGCAGAATGTAATGCAGAAAACCTGTCTGCTTGTTTGTTCCTGTGAGGTTGGAAAGCCCTGCAAAAAGGGTATTGATTAACTTCCATCCTATAATACCTACACAGTCCCTCTCATTGGCATGATTCCAATCAGCTCAAAGGGCTTGGTTAATTGACGTCCTGGGGTGGTTTGAGAGTGGATACTCTGAGGCCAAGTAGGTTTTATATATGTCTTTTACTGGCAGCTTTCTACTGGCTGCTGCTTCAGTGTTCATTCTGTAGCTGTGTAATTGTGATTACAGGTGGCAGGGACACTGTGTGCCCTCTTTTTTTGTTTCTTTTTAATCACTGTATCTGTTTAATGTTGTATTAACAGCTGTACAAATGGAATTGATAATGCAGCATCCAATCTTAATTTCAAGGAGCAGTTAGGAAGAGTAGCCAGTGTAGAAAAGTTGCATCTCGTAAAGTTTGCTGGCACTGTTAAACTAGGAGGAACTGTGGACATGTTGGCAGGACTGAGTTGCCAGTAATATCATCCTTAACAGCCTGGAGTGCTAAAGGACTGAGAGAAATCAAGTCCTTTAGCACAAGGAAAGGTCTTGAAATAGTTAGGAAATAAAGGACAGAATACTTTATTTAAGCTGCATATAGGAAAAATTCAAGTAAGTTCACGTGAGAAGTTTTACTACATGGAACAAAATCTTTAAATGTAAAGGATAATTAAATATGGTAATAGTTAGCACAGGAGAATTATTTAACTCTTTAATCAACATAAGTCTTTAAAAACAGGTAAGGCAAATGCTTGTTTTGATTAGCAAAATGGTGTTTGTATCTGCCTTGCAGGTATACTAGACAACCTCTTGCAGTCTCTTTTGGGCTTGCTCGCTGTTGCTGTTTGTTTTTTTTTTTATTTGCACTTTTACAATTGTTAGAAGAATAATTTTAAAAAACATACCACCCTTAGAAATGTTCTCAAGCCGCTTAAATAGCTCATCTCTTCATTCTTTACCCATTCAATTCTTTACAAAGGAAAGACAAAGGAAAGTGCACCCTTGTAACCTTCGGTGTTCTTCATGAAGGGAGTATAACAAACTGAAAGTCACATGGTTTTTATTTGCAGGTTACAGGATGACAGAATTAGGATAGAAAGGATGCAAAACCTCAATTTTGAATACAGCCATGCTTTCCAGGTGATTACTGACTTCTATGCAAAAGAAGTGCCTGGTACCACAGGTATGTCATTCCACATGGCTTTGAAGTGCACATCCTGTTGGCCTTTATATCCACGCTGGCTCTCAGCCACCTTTGCTTAACGTTCTGCGCAGTGGGATCTTTTTTTGAGCTTGGAAGAAGTGAACCTTGAAAGTGAACTATCTAAATAGAAATGAATATAGGGCTAACAATGCTTTTTTTCATAGCTTGAAAATGTGTGTTTAGACAGATTTAAATTCACAGATATATAGCAACTAGGGGGAATTACTCAACATCTGAAATGTTTCTTCAAGTTCACAGAATCCCAGGATATTTGGGGTCAGAAGGGACCTCTTGAGACCCCTCAGCCCAATCCCCTGCCCAGGCAGGGTCTCCTGGAGCAGGTGACACAGGGATATGTCCAGTGGGTTTGGGATGTCTCCAGACAGGGAGACTCCATATCCTCCCTGGGCAGCTGTTCCAGGCTCTGCCACCTCCATGGAGAGAAGTTCTGCCTCATCTGAGGGGAACTTAATGTTTGAGTTCGTGGCCCTTGCTCCTTGTCCTGTCACTGGGCACTGCTGAACAGAGTCTGAGACCATCCTCTGACACTCCTTGGGGATATTGGTGTGGATTGATGGGATCCCCTCTCAGTCTTCTCCAGGCCCAGCTCCTGCAGTCTCTGCTCATCAGAGAGATGCTCCAGACCCCTCATCATCTCTGTGACCTCTGCTGGACCCTCTCTAGTATCTCCTGGTCTTTCTTGTCCTAAGGAGCCCAGAACTGGGCACACTATTCCTATGTGGCCCCAGCAGGGCCAAGCAGAGGGGTAGGATCTCATCCCTGACCTGCTGGCCATGCTCTTCCTGATGCATCTCAGGATCTCATTGTCTCTCCTGGCCCCAAGGGCACTGCCAGCTCATGGTAAGCTTGTCTCCCACCAGGACTCCCAGGTCTTTCTCCACAGAACTGCTCTGTAGCAGGTCATCCCCAACCTGTGCTGGTCTTGGGGTCATCCCTCCCCAGGTGCAGGACCTGCACTTGCCCTCGTTGGGTCTCTTTAGGTTTCTCTCCACCCAACTTTCTAGCCTGTTCAGGTCCCTCTGAATGACAGCACAGCCTTCAGGTGCATCAGCCCCTGCCCCAGTTCTGTGTCACTGGGAAATCACAAGATCATTGAGTTTGGAAAAGCCCTCCCAGCCCATGGAGTCTAGCCTGTGGCCGATCCCCACCTTGTCACCCAGCCCAGAGCACTGAGTGCCACGTCCAGTAGTTCCTTGGACACCTCCAGGGATGGCAACTCCACCACCTCCCTGGGCAGCCCCTTCCAATGCCTGACAGCCCTTTCCAGCAAGAAATTCCTCCTTATGTCCAACCTGACCCTCCCCTGGCACAGCTTGAGGCTGTTTCCCCTTGTCCTGTCCTTTATTGCCTGGAAGCAGAGCCCGACCCCTCCCTGGCTCCACCGTCCTGTCCGGGAGTTGCAGAGAGTGGGAAGGTCCCCTCTGAGCCTCCTTTTCTCCAGGCTGAGCCCTCCCAGCTCCCTCAGCCGCTCCTGGTGCTCCAGGCCCTTTCCCAGCTCTGTTCCCTTCCCTGGACACACTCCAGCCCCTCTCAATGTCCTTCTTGAACTGAGGGGCCCAGACCTGGACACAGGACTTGAGGGGCCTCAGCACAGGGACGGGCACTGCCCTAGGCCTGCTGGACACACTATTTGTGATACAAACCAGGTGCCACTGGCCTTCCTGTCCACCTGGGTGCACCTGGGCTCATGTTCAGTTGCTGTCCCCCCCAGGGCCTTCTCCAGCTTTCCAGCCCTTCTTTCCCCAGTCTAGGGTGTTCCATGGGATTGTTGTGACACAAGGGCAGGACCTGGCACTTGGTCTTGTTGACTCTAGCACCATTGCTTTTGGCCCATTCATTCAGCCTGTCCAGATCCCTCAGCAGAGCCTTCTTGTCCTCCGGCAGATAAACTCACTGAGGGTCCATTCCATCCCTTCATCTGGGTCATTGATAAACAAGTTGGATCAGCCTGGACCCAGCATTGATCCCTGGCTGCCACTGACTACAGGCCTCCAACTGGATTCTGCTCTGCTGATCACAACCCTCTGAGCTCTGCCAGTTCTTCATCCCCCTCACTGTCTATTCATCCAACCCACATTTCCTGAGCTTTCCTACAAGGGGTTTGTGGGAGACTGTGTCAAAAACCTTGCTGAAGTCGAGGCAGACCTCTCTTTGCTCTCCCCTCATTGACCCATCCTGCCATGCCATCATAGATTAGTCAAAGAGGATTTCCGCTTGGTGGGTCCATGCTGAGTACTCCTGATGACCTGCTTCTACATGCTTGGTGATGACCTCCAGAATGCACTGTTCCACCACTGTTCTTTCCAGGGATAGAGGTGAGGCTGACCGGATGGGACTTTCCCAGGTCCTCCTCCTTGCCTTTTTTGAAGATGGAGGTAACATTCTTGTCATTGAGTTCTAAAGTTCTTGTGTGTGTGAACTCTCTAAGAGCAGAAGAGCAGCTTTAAAAAACATCTCTGAAAAAAAGTTAAATAAATGGATTTTTTTAAATACTCTTTTATGTTGTGATATCATGGAATGAGTTTTCCTGGTTTTGCACCTGGAAGAGAGACTGTAGTAGGGCACTGTGCAAAACGCTATCCAATATCAATGGCTTTTTCACAAAAGTGTCAGAATTCCATTCTTAGTTTGTATATTTAGATGTCTGTTATGCCAACAGTTTGTCATTTTTTATGAAGAAAAACCTGTGGAGTCAAATGTTTTCTGTTTCATAATGTGTTTACATGAATGCAATGTTCTACATTCTTTGGAACAGTAAGCGTTATTTTGGAGCCTTGCTTTATGTTGATTTATAGATCTCATAAAACACTGCACATGCATTGCAGATTTCTATTATAATAAATTGAAAAAGAGATTGTGCTTTTTCTACAACACATTAGTAGTAGACAGTGAGTTAACAAGAAAATAAAAATGTAACAAGAAAAATTATTTTTTTTTAGGTCCTCAAAAACTATCTGTAATACTAAGCTTGGATAAGCCTGTTATTTGCTCTCTGGCAGCAGTAATTGCATACCTCAAAGAATTTAATTTGGAAAGGATGCTTTACGATCCAAGGTAAGTTGCCTTACATAAACTTCCAGTTCAAATCACCACTGTGATAAGTGTTAGCAGGCAGCTTCCCTAACTGTAATGAACACACCTACTAGAGTGATAAACATAGTCTTCGTAAAAATTATACCTTACTTTTGGTCTCCTAATCAGAACTTGAAAGAATCAAGTGATTTCTTTAAGTGGTGTTTCATGAAGGTCTTCATGAAATGTTTGGGTATAGTCATTACTGTCAGTAATGTGAATTAACATGTAGTGCTGCCAGGTGTTATTGAAAACAAACAAGGTGCAAAAACTGGTAAATACTAGGGAGGAAATTTTAAAGTTTGTTTATATCAGCTATCACATCTCACCTCAGTAAACCAAATATAGGGCTTTTTTTGGGCAGCTTTAAAAAAAATTAGTATTGTAACTTAGCTTTGCGGTTATTGTTTTATTTTGCCAGCAGTGCGTAAATAATTTTTTCTTTCTGTCGTTCTGGAAGCAGGTACAAATGCTAGTGTGTTGTTATGTTTAGGCAGTACTCATCAAGTCTGTTTGAGCTGGCAAATCTAGTTATCAATTATAAAGAAAACATGAATTCAGCATATCCTGGGTTTCTGGCAAATCCCTGGACCATTACCATTTGTGCAAAGTTACTACAAAACCACACAGACATGGGTATAACCTTGTTTTTCCTTAAGCAATCCCAACTCTTTGGTTTATTAGATATGCTCAAATGAGCACTCAAAATTTGTGACAGGATTATGCAGGTGGAAGCAAATGAAAACAGAAAGATATCACTGCTCAAGCTTCTCTTATCCTGTGTTGCATTGAGTATAAAACACTGCTATCATACCTTGCACAAGCATAAAACACTGCTATCCTACCTTGCTCAAGTTTGAAAATACCGTTGGGGCTTATTAAATACAACAACTTTAGCTGTCGTGGATCCTGTGCAAAGTATTCTCCTGGTTATCCCAGTATTCCTCTGTTCCGTAAGTAGGGAGGATTTAGTGAAGTCAGTCTGGCTGCAGACTGGAAACTTAGAAATGTGTCATTTGTAGATCATTCATATGTTGTATGAGTTTCAATCCTGATTTTGAAAGGCTCCCTACATTGCTAGTTTAGTTAAAATGCAGCTGCATTTAAAAATGCGGATGCCAGCTTTAAACACTTTTTCACATGTCCACTAAAATGTTTGGAAATTATATATATATGGGTGTTCTGGATTTTGGGGTGGATTTTCTTCCTTAAATTGCCCTTCTCCACTCCAAGTACTATTTAAATGTTAACAAAAAGTTTGATGGGCTTATAGAGCTAATGAGGAAAGAATTCCTGGGGCATCTTCCGTGCATCATCCATCAAGGAGCTGATCTGTGGTGCTCTTGCTCATCCTCTTTGGTTGACTTTTTTTTATCCTGTGTGGGTTTTTGGTTGGTTTTTTGTGGGTTTTTTTGTTTGTTTATTTTGGCTTTTGTTTGTTTGGGTGGGGGCTTTGTGTTTTTATTTATTTTTTAATATGCTTGCATGGGTGGAGAAATCTTTTCGTAGAGTTTCCAAAGAAGAAAGTGGACTCCAAGGAAATACCATTTTGTGGTCACTGCTGTCACAGTGCCCTTTGTGCAATCACACATGAGGTGAATGTTCTTTCAGCTGGAGGAAATGCAAAATCCACCTTTTATGTAGAAGTAATTCAGTAGTAGAGGAGAAGGCATCAGCAGCATTAAAGATAGTGTGTCTCCAGACCTCCCGATGGGAGGCCAGAGTAGACCAGCAAGCAGGATCACTCTTGAGGAGAAAAGACAACGCAGAAAGAATCGTGTCTTGCAGAATAGACCACCTAAGGAGTCTTTCTGCTGTGCCTTTTGCAGCCGGATGTGCCTATCTCGTATTGGCCTTTTTAGCCACCAACGCGCTTGTAACAAACATGGGTAGAGCCCTCACCAAATCTTCGTTCACGAAGCCTAGCCGTGATGATGATGATGATAAGAGGAGAAACCTCATTGTCTGAAGGCTTGTGTAGGAGCACTCAGTCACATTTGTAACAGCTGCATCCTAAAATCAAGAACAATTATCGGCTGGGAAGGAAAAGCGCTAATTCTTGGCTTTGACATTTGCCTGCTGAAGGTTGTTCCAATGGATTTTTTGTGAATGTATGAGCATCTGAGTGAAAAGGCAAAGAACTACTTAATATCCTGTTGATGCTCTGTGAAGAAATAAAATACATTCTTTGAGAAACCTTTGTGGTTGGGAGCTTGGATTCCGCTGTGTTTATTCCTAAAACCTTTATGCTTTGACTACCTGATACTGAGTTCTACTTGCTATTTTTAGTGTATCACAGGTATCGACATAGTGAGACAAATACTGAGGCAAATTCCAATACTTTTCCTAATGCCAGTGAAATACTATCTAAAAACTGAAAACTGAAAGACTTTTAAGCAAATCATGTCAGGCTCATGAATCTCCTGAATTAGGAAATAGAGAAGAAATACTTCCATTGCACTCTCAAGCAACTTAAAATTCCTAGAAGAATTCAGGTCAGTGAGCATGAAGTTGGAGTTGTGAGATAGTTTTTGGTTTTTTAAAGTAAGTGACACAGATCTGGATGAAGACCTATTTGATAGGAAGAATGACAGAAAAATTTATTACACCTCTGTACCTCCTTTGGATAAACACTCTTCTCACAGCTGAAAAGAATTCCATCTCTGCTTATTAGTAGGAGTTAAGAAACATCATGTAAGTGGTAACCAAACCTCATTGGTGGGGGGGAAACAAGTTTTGTTCTAGTATTTAGGTTAAGCTTTTAAATCTACTTTTAAGATTGTAAATAAAGCAAAATATTAAAAAGAAATAAAGATTTCTGTCACAGCAGGACTTCTAGGTATGACTAGACTGCATTAGAGTTCTAATAGCAAGTAAAAATAGATTTAATAATGAATGATACAAGGTGTTTTTAATCAATGTGCTCTAATACCTTTACGTACTGAGAGACCTTGATTAAAGGCTTTTGTCAAGAAGTTGGTGCACATCTAGGAGAGGTTTTCAAATACATTTGAGTACCCAGTTTTGTTTGAAAAATCATCATTTGCATAGCAGTTGCTGGGAAGATGTGTCTCAGTGTATTTTGATTTTACCTATATGTTTTCCAGCATATTGGAGATGGAAGAGAGAGACTGTAGTTTGTAAACTTTGAACAGTGATGGATGATCTTCCATAAATGCAGGGAATGGTACACAACACAAAAAGGGATTCAGATCAGAAGTTCTAGCCTTGTGGCACTATTCATTAATGTTTTCAAACCTGGCTAATTAAATACAAAACATAGTCTGGACTTGATGTCCTTTACTACTTAGACTGTGGTAATGTCTTTCATACGTAACAAAAACTATGCTTCTGCAAAATGGAGAGACTTGGTTTTACTTCTTAAAGCTTTTAGGGATTCCTGCAACTTTTGTCTTTATAGGTTTATTCTGTGTTTTATTCACCCTCAGAGATCTCAAAGACATGGCCTCTAGAGGTCTGTAAAAGGTAATTGAGCAAAGATCTGCTGCTTTCAGTACAGTGTCTTGCATCTTCACTCAGGAATTTTACAGATTTCCAGAATTAAAGTAGTTGAAAACTACTGATCTGAATACCATGCATTCACTTAGGCTGGGTTACTGAGTATGAAATTACATATAATATTTCCTGTGCAGAGAATAATTAATAAAGCATTAAAAAGGCTGTTCACTGCAAGCTTCTCTGCAGGCAAAATCACAGAATGGTTTGGGTTGGAAGGGACCTTAAAGCCCATCCAGTTCCACCCCCTGCCATGAACAGGGATACCTTCCACTATCCCAGGTTGCTCCAAGCCCCATCTAACCTGGCGTTAGATATTTCCAGGGATGGAACAGCCACAGCATCTCTGGGCAACCTGTGCCAGGGCCTCACCACCCTCACAGGGAAGAATTTCTTCCTAAAACTGAATGGCTCCTATTTTAGTTTAAAGCTCTTTCCCCTGTCACTAACTGCCCCTGTAAAAGTCAGTCAGTCTCTTTTTTTATAAGCCCCCCATAAGTACTACCAGAATGACCAAGATGATCCAGTTTCAGCAGTAACACATTAGAATGGAAGCCTGAGGATGTAGTTTACTGTCCTAAAGCAGTCACAGCAACCCTTTCATACTCATTGTCTTGTGTGGTTCTGCTCTGAAAAGTCATTTTATGGTATAATACTCCTTGTCATGAGTATTCCCCATAAGGTTCCTAAACTTTCCTAGAAGTTGTGTTTGTTTCCTCTTTTTCTTTTTCTAAGCCCAGAAATGACATGATCCTACCTTGTTGTGCTCCTCAGTTGCCATCTGTTTCCATCACTTGTGTTTTGTCCTCTTTGAGTGCTTGAGACCATTGCAAGTCTGCTCTTTGAAACTCAGGTCACGCTGTCACCTACAGAAGGAGTTATGTCTTTGTGATCCGGTCAAAATGGTCTTTGAAGGGTCATTTTTAGTGGTTCAAGAGATGGCTGATAGCAGTGCATTAGCATTTCACACAAGGATTGTGTTGAGATCTTTGCTGCAAAACCAGCACTGACTTAATAGTTGTTTACAGCCTTATTCTTATGCCATTTGATCTCTAAATTCCCTACAAAGAGTCTGGTTTTTTCACATTTTTACAAGTTCTGATTCCAAGCTGAAGGAAGATGAGAGGGTGGAAGCAAAACATGTTCTGAGCTGTGACATCTGGAATTATTGGTTGGGTATACACTGCACTTGATCTTGACTATTTTTCATATACTCCAAGCTCTCAATTGCCAGGATTAATAGCAGAGTGAAGTAACTCAGATAAAGAAAACACCTGGATAATGTAAGACACACATAATTTATGCTGTGAAAACAACTTTTGCTTGTCTGATTCTGAATGAATAGTAAATACACTGTGCAGTGGAACAGAGTGAGTTGTCTTCATGTACTCCTGAGCAACCTTGCTGTGAGCAGTGTGGTCTGTGTTAAGTGCTCTATGGGGAAGCACAAGAACCAGTAAATCCACCTAAAAGAATCCTTTTCACTTTTGAGAAGAGGTGGAAAAGCTTGATTCTCACTCAGCTGGGTTTAAGAGGTCACAGACTCGAGTTGTAGCAAATAGGAAAACTGTTGTTTAGGTGAGTCCTGGAAGCAGAAGAGGTACTTTCAGAAGAGCAGATGGGATTTGTTGTTGGCTGTAGGCATGGGGAAAATGTAGGCAAGCAGAAATCATTCCTAATTAATTTTTGCCAGCATCAGCAATTGTGACTAAAGATAATAAAAGGAAGTATTGTTTTGTTGCTTACAAGTTTGTGTACTTTGGAAAGTACTGTGGGTTTTGCCTCAAGTTTTGTTTTGCTGGTCAGTTTTGCTGGTTGCTGGAATAGCACACAAAGCCGAATAATTATGCCTATGGATACAGTTCTGAATCAGCTGTACTTCCAACCAGTCATTCTTCAGGGCCCTCAGTTTAATCTGCTTTTTTTTTAATTCTGTGAAAAATACTTCAAATTTGACCCATTATTTAGGAAGAAATTTGCCAGCAGGCCCAAACACCTGCATACAACATAAATATATAACATTAGTCTCTAAGTATTTCATGTTTCTGGAAGTTTTGGTACTGTTTTTGTTTTTAATGTAGCAGCTGTGTGTGCTACACACAGAAAAGTTAGAGCATTCGCGTGCTTCTCCAGAGGATTTAAAATCGAATACACTGAAAACAATTCTGTGAAAGGTCAAGAAAAGAATTTTAAATCCTGCCCAGCAAGTTGTTCTGCTTAATCTAAGACAATAAAGAGTGTCCTAGATTCTGTGCAAAGGGCAGTCAGCAGTATGATTAACCCAGACAATCATGACTTCGTTTGTCAGAAACATTTAGTGAGGATCTTGCACTTCATGGTTCAAACTACAATGTGTGTGTGTTTGAGACTGAAATAATTTTCATATCTAATAAGATTACACATCTAACACAATTATTTTTTTAGTGTTGATTCTAAAGCAACACAGCCTTTGGGTTGGTCTCATCTAGTTCTGTTAAGGAGTATCAAAAAGTCCAGTAATTTTGGTCATGGTTATTTCACATCAAAACCAAAATCATACAATGTAAATATACTGTATATTTATTTTCCTAAATAATTGTACTGGTAGCAGTAGTAATAAAAAAAGAATATGTGTTTTGATATGCTTTTTTGATGGTGAATTGTGTTAAAAGTCTGTTCCACTCTTGAAGTATTGATTATTTGTCCTGTCTCTGCTTAGTTGTAGACTGAATAAATTAGCCATTTAGTGTCAAAGGATTAGATAACAGGAGAGCTGGATTTTATTCTGAGCTTTGTCAGAGTCATTGCAGGAGACTGGGAAGTGAGTCTTAAACAAAAAAAGTGATTTTTTTTCCAAACAGTAAGTTAAAATAAGTTATTAGTATTCAGTTCTTTTATTTAAATAGATTTTGATTTCTTACTTGACTTTTTTTTAATTTATTTTGCATAACTAATGAATTATCTAACATGAGGAACTTGGCAGTGTTTCACTGTTCTGTCTGTGCCTGAATTAAAGATATAACATATGAAATTCCTCTCCCCAGAAATTTCAAACAGTTGTCCAGTGAAACTGAATACATGACAATTAATGGGACAACAATGAAAAATCTTGAAATTTTGCAGAATCAGGTAAGGACAAACGTAATTTTTTTTAATAAATGCTGCCTTCCCAATGAAATTGGTTAAATTGCTTGCAAATTTCACCCAAAAAGCTTGAATTATTTTAAATGGGATTAGACTGAAGGTGGATCACATTTTCAGAGGCATAAATCAAAGTTCATCTGTACTGGCTTTCAGTATGAGTTAGGAACCTTATTGTACTTGGACTAACAAAGAACTTTACTTGAGCAACTTAAGTTCTTGAGCAAGAACTGCAGTTGAGGGATATGTCTGTGGTAGGGTCTGTTCTTTTGCTCCTGCTGAGAGCTTTATGCACAGAACTTAACTCCACTTGCTTAATTTATTCCAGTCAATTACTAAAAAGATTTTCTGGCTAAAGGAAAAGCATACTTAAATATCTTATGACTCTTGGAGGTACTTTATATAATGTATTGTTGGTGGGTGAGATTGGTAAATGAACATGCAGTTAGCATATCTTAAAGCCTAAACAAAATGTTTTATATAACATGGTGGAGATCTTTCCACTACAACACTGACTGCTCAGCTAAAAATAATGAAGATGTTTTTATTATTTTAGATGGACATGAAAACAAAAGGAAGTCTGCTCTGGGTCTTGAATCATACTAAAACTTCCTTTGGACGTCGAAGACTGAAGAAATGGGTGACCCAGCCTCTCATGAAATCCAGGTGAGATAGTTCTTCATCCTGGGCTAAATCTGTGTTTATAGTGGTGTTGAATGTATTTGTTTGTCCTGAAGGCCTGAGATCCACAGGGGAGTTTGCATAGGAAATTATACAACAGAAGATGTGGATGTTATAAATTGGTTTGAAAGGCTTAAACTGCTCTGTTTGGGCACAGATAAATAGTAGTGGGTTTGGACCAGGTTAGAAATTCCTTTGCAGAAATCAGATTTGGTACAATTCTAATTCAGTATCCTTTTTGACAGTGAACGAGGATGACCCAGTATTGGAGGTTGTTTTATTCCTAAACTTGCCAATAAATGATGGATGTCTTCCTTGCTTCGCAAATATTTACATCCTTACTATGTTTAATTTCTTCTACAGTAGCTGTGGATGTTTTTGTTATCTCTGTATACAATGGGAAAGTGTTCCTTTTTACTAATTATGAAATGTGATGATTGTTTGGTCACTCCTGTATTTTGACCTGTCCTTTTTTTATCAGTGCTTTAGAAATGTTTTGTTTTGTGACACTGTCATGCAAGTTTTCACTTGCCTTGGTTTTGAAAGGGACTCCATCATATCTGGTTTATCTTTGCAGACTTTATTGGAGTATTGTACCTGAATGTGTAGTAATTGACAGTATTGACTCCATTGAATGTTTTTTCCCTACATTTTAATTTTTTGGATCTGTTCTTTTAAATGTGCCTTTCCTCAGCATTGTCCATGTAGAATTTACTTAATTCTAAATAATTTCTTTGTTCCCTTCAGCTGTAGCATATAGAAAATCCTTTTGCGTTGGTTATCTAAAATATTTTTCCCTTCTGTTTTACTTTTGTAAATATATTAAACAGTTTTTATGTTTATTATTTTTCACCAGTTTAAAATGGTGAGGTAATTCAGTGTTTTAGCATCTTGCTGTTGTTGATAATTTACAAATGTTTTTTCAGAAGGATTTTTTTTTCCTTGACCAAATTTTATATGTGAAAGCACTGTACTTCTGAAGCATCACTGCTTAATTTTCTTATTAGCCTTTTGTAATAAGTTAATTTCAGTGTGCCTTTCTTTTTTTTAATTGTTCTTTCATATGTCTTACCCACTTCCAAAAGGCCTTTGATGTAACTATCCTAAAAAGTACTGGGCTTAATGGAAGTTAATTAGGGCCTTGTGTTCACCTTAAAAGCATGTAGGCAGAATTTCTGAGCCACTTTGTGGAAATAAATGGAAGTAAATTAGTTTATTTCTCTTCCTGCCCTTATGACCTTTTGGGATTTGTGGAGTTGTCAGCGGAGGGAGCCAGAGCTCTGGGGATGGAGAGCTGGAGAGGACCTGCCTCCAGCCATTTTGCCCCTAAATCATCCCCTGTGTGATCCAGGAGGTGAAATACCATTCACAGTAAAACAGAGTCCTTTTCCAGGCAGGTAGAAAACTGCTTGCCTGTAGACTCCAGGCATTCTTTTTTAACCAGTATATTTAGTTTAGATTCTCCCTTGCCTCAGTGCAGAGCCAGTTCAAAAGTTTGTAGTCCTTTTTTCTTGTCTTATTCCTTTTCTCTTTCCTGCTTCTAGAGAGTGATGCTTGACATTTTTCAGGCTTCTGTGGCTGGAGATGACAGTGCTCCTCAGCTGAAGTTAGAAAAGCTACTTTGCTCTGTGTATTTCTCCATTTCTGACTCTAAGTTGTAATTTCAGGTACTTAGTGCATCAGACATCCGGTAATATTGTTCCCAGTAATGCACACAAATGCACTTAGAGAACATTTTGTAATTGTAATTCACCTGAGCCTCCTGGAGAGACATTTTCAGAGGAAGTCAGGTTTCTGCACTGCGTCTTTCCCAGTATGTGGGTAGGTGTATCAAAAAGTGAGAGAGTGTAATTACTGCTTTATGCCTTAGAGTTGAAAATCACTTGGAATGATGACTAAACTTCCTGTGGAGAAGCCATACCTTAGGTTGAATAAAGGTAAAATGTGTACAGACAGCTCATTTTGGCAAACTTGAAGATACTCTTCAGATGATTGGTGATGTAGTACATGTAGAAACAAGATTTGTACATTTGTTAAAAAAAGAAAAGTCAAAAAAAGGCTTAACCAGGAAAGGTGTGATGTCCTTACTTACTCACCTGGCTATACAAAGATGATGAGGCAAGAGTGGATCAGTCATTGATGACTGAGCTTTTTAGGAGGAATCAGGAAAGTATTTTTTTGCAAAGTTATGTATTGTGGATTACAGAAACCTTCTCTTACCTTTGACATTCAAGTTCCACCCAGTGCCTTCCTTGCCTGACTTTGTAAGGGTAGTGGAAAGAAAAGGAAACGGAAGGCTTGGAACATTTCTTAGTGAATGAAATATGCAGCTTCCTAGTCAGGCAGTGGAGTTTCAGCAGGGTAAGGAGTAGAGCTGTGTATTATCACACTCAGCAGCCAAAGGGTTCAGGACTGGCCTCAAGATACATATTGTAGCACAGTGTGATCTTTGTGTCTTTGTCTATGTGCAACATTTACAAATAGTTTATTTCCTAATGCAAAATAAATCTCAGAACCCTTGAAGTGGATATGAAAGTTACTGTTTTTCAATGGCTACAGGAGAAGGAGAAAGAAGAGCTTCACACAGGCCTTGTTGAGCAAACCTGGCTCTGATTTGCACCTCTTGTTTTGTTGTGTATTGTGGGAATGTTGTCCTGTGGTGGTGGTACAGAGGAAAGGGTGAGAAAGTTGTTGCCCTGCACATGAACAATCTGAGACCTCTGCAAAATGTGTCTTTCCTTGTCTCTGTTACATCCATGGCTGCCACCTCCCACCTTCATCTTTGCAGTTCCCTTTCCTAGGTGTTATGACTGTCTCCAAGACACAGCAGTGCTGCTTGCCCATCTTCAGTCCAAACAGAACACACAAATAAATACTGCATCCTGGGTATTAATCTGTGTCTGTGCCTTGCTCAGTTGCTGTTTTTTGCACAATTTGTAGGAAATCTGCTTTCTTGAGATCAAACACCTTCCTTTGTCTTGTCAGGGTTGGCTGGAGTTGAACAGAGAGTTCAAAATTGATGTTTAAATCTCAAGGAAGATAAAAAATGGTATGCATTTAGAGAGTTGCTGAAAACATTTCAGCCTTTGCTTTGTGGTTTACAAAACCCAAAATTGTAATTACCCCTCAAAAACTAGATTTCCATTTTTTCTCCCCTGTGGTTCTAGTATACTTTGTCCCCCATTTCCTCCAGTTCTGGATGAGATGATGCTTTTATTCAGGTGGAATTGAAGCCTTGTAGGATGGTATTGATAATTACCATTAGTCTGAATACGCTCTGTCTGCAAGAGCATAGAATGACTGTAAATTTAAGAAATTCAGAACTGCACAGTTCGGGACTGCTGACAGTTCCTTATGTACTATTAAAGAAGAGGAAGAGTGTAAATTGGTATTACTAATGCAACATGACTTTTATTTGGAGGATATGTACTGTAGAACGGAGTAGAAGAGGGTCTCTTTATAGTCATGTTGGCAATGACATCTTTTTAATATAAAATATTATCTTGTTCTAAATACTCTCACTTTGAATGCAATGAGTGCTGTTTTATTTATACTTCAATGCATGAAGTACAATCCTAAAGGAAAGTCTTTCAAGTTTGACTTTGGTCTTGTTCCCATAATTAAAATGTTGGGCAGTAAAACAAAATTCCAAAAGGTCCTTGAAGAAACCAGTTTAATTCACAGTTAAACTGGTTGCCATTTGATACCATCATCATCCACAGCAGGATTAGAATATACTTCTTTTTTTGCAATAGTGATTTATGACTAAAATCCACCAATCCTACAGCACAGCTAAATTTTCCTCCTAAAAATAATGATTTTATAGCATCACTGCCAGTATAAAATGCACAAATGCAGGTTACAGCATATGCCTGAGATCTCAAAATTGTTGTAGGAAAGAAAAAGATTGCAGCATCATCACATGTGTTCATTCATTTTTGCTAGCTGTGTTTTGGTCTCATTGAATGCTGTGTCTAATTCCTTATCAATGGAGCAATCAGGCCTTCATTCAGGGTGGCTGAAGTGGCCAACCGTTCCCTTTTTAGGCACAAATAGCTGAAAAACATTGTGTGTGAACATAAACAAAAGTGTTTGATTGCCATTTGCATATCTTTTAACAGATGTGAAGATAAAGTTTAGAGTACTTGTATGTTGCTGTTAAGTATTTGAGATCCATTCAAGAATATTGTCCTGCATATTTATTTAGGGGAACGCTGGACCTCTCTGGAGAGGCTTGAGACATTAGGAGTTTGGAGAGTAAAAAGTTAAAAACAAGTGAGCAGATCCAGAAGGATGTTAATTTTTTTAGGTTTCACTTAAATTTCACTCTAGTAAATGTGAAGTAGTTACCCTTGTTTGTACTTTTTTCATTGGTGCCCATGTGTGAAATTCCAGTGGTCATTCCAGCAAATTTTAACAAATTTAACAAATCTAGATTCATCCCATGAAGTTAGCCTGTTTCTAACTTAGATACTTGGTAAAAAAGCCTCGAGGGGAAGGGAGCTCCCAAGATCTGTTGATGCAACATCAGAAGTCAGAGGGTCTGCAAAAGTTAATACAGTTTTATTAGTAAATTACACACTTGGCAGGGAAATCATGTGTTAGTCCCTCATCTCCTGTTGTAAGCACATGGCAGTGGGGTTTGAACAGAGGGGTAAGGTGGAAGGGAAGAGTGATAGGGAGATGGATTAAAGAGGGGGAGAAAGAGAGGGAGAAAAGAGAGGTCACCAGTCCGGGCTCCAGCATTGGTGCAACTGGTAGGGTGTGCAGGATCCTGGGGTTGTGCCCAGGCTTTGAGGGGGCACCTTTTTACAGGTAAGTTTTGCTGTCCTGGAGATCAGTTTCTTGCTTTCTATGCAAATTAGTTCTCGTATGCAGTCTGTTCCAGACCTTTCTGGAGATAGGTCAGAGGCTTTGGGGGCATTTGGTGATCTTGATCCGTCCGTACAGTCCGTGCCCACTTCCTGGCATGATTCCTGCACCTGTGCTGTGTTGTCCTTCTCTCCAACAGACAAATCAAGGACATTTGTCCCGGAAGAGTGCTGCCCTTCCTCCGCATGGCCCCTTCTCCAGCCACAACAGTCACTGGCTGGCATTGCCAGTGTCCCTGGCTGGCTCTGGAGCCAGCCAGCTGTCAGTTTGACACACACACTTTATCCCTCTGACCTTCCAGCTTCTGCAATGAGCCAGTTTTTCATCTGCTTGTTCTTTAAAAAATCATACACAGCGTATAGATTGCACTGTGGTAATTCTACCATGGCCTTGGGTTTTGATGGCATTAGTTGCTTGTCGTGAAAGGGAGTGGTCTGAAGCATAAAACACTCTGTACAGTTTAACGAGGTCTTTAACTTAATCAACTCATCCAAAGTCTTCATTCACGAACCATGTTCTGAAGGAAAGTCAGAAAAAAAGCGTATTGTGTGAGTGAGTAACTTAAATAATATATTTTCATTCTTTACAATGCTGTAGTTAGGAGGCTGCTAGGCTTTGATTTAGATAATATAGTTTATGTAAAGTAGCGTTTATTGTTTCATAGCCTTCATTATATTTTTTAAAGGTTGAATTCCTGTGATTGACAGTTCTACATACCACTGTGGTTTCTAAACAGATTTAATAGAATTAATTTCAGTTGTACACACTGTACTTGAGCTATGTCCTTAGCATGATGAATGGACTCATACTATGTGCATTTATTGTAAGTTAATAGACTTCTGATAAATTTGTATTTATTTACCTTGTATAAAAATAAAAGGTTATACAAATGAAAATGTTCTGTCATTCTTATATAGCAGCTACATTATCAGTTTCACTCTGCCTCAAATGTAATGATATATTATCATATCTAAAAATGTCAGGTTTGCTTTGCTGTAGGAGAGATCAGCAGATCTGTTACCACTCCAGCAACCAGCAAGCCTATTTAGACTGCTCAGATGTTTATTCAGAGCAATGCTTTTGGATCTGCAGCCTTCTGCTTTGTCAAAATAATTTTTAGTTTGGGATTCAAATATCTATGTATTTTCTAATTTTCTATATTGTTCACATATTTAGCAGCAGAATAACACAGGGAAATATGTTGTTATTTCATTTCAAGTAGTTCTTTTCAATGACTAGAATAAAAATTCTGCAGGTAGATTTTGATCTGTTTAAATACACTGCAAAGTGATTTTAGTATTGTAATAATGATGCTATTCTTAGATGGGGAGTACAGCAGAAGTAAGTGTATTGCTTTTAGTCAACTGAATTATGTTACATTATTTCTCTGAAGATTGTTTGGAAAATTGGATAAAGCTCAGATTGCCGACATGTTTTATACAGAAGAGAAAGAACAGACTAATACTGCACCTAAGTAGAGCATGAAGTAGTAGCCAGTTTGGCTGGCTGTTGAGTTCCTTTATATAGTGTTAGATTCAGATTTTCTGGGGGTGAAATTCTTTTCCAGACCATGTAGAGATTAGAAACCCCAGACTAATTCATATATGCTGAATAACTCTGCAATACAGAACAAATTTGTTTAGCAGCTGATCAGTGCAATATGTATATACTGGCCCTCAACAAAATGTTCATTAATTTAAGTATATGTATTTAAAGTTTAAAAGCATACTTTGAAATTCATCCTCTGTTTTTATCATCTCATCCCAGTCCCCCCTTCCTCATGCACATCATATTTCACACAATTTTTTGCTGTACTTCCTGTTTGAAATAGGAATCCCACTATGTTTTTTTACAGGTGGGAAAAAATGGGTCATTTGGTACTGAATGCCATTTTTTTGACCCTTTCTTGTTTGTAGGATTAAAGCAGAAAAACTGTATGGATGCTTAGTTTTAGATTACTGGAGCTCCAGTAACACAGCCATATGTGAGGATGATTAAAGTGCAGATTAAGCTTTGTAGGGAGAAGTTTTTCAAATATCTGCATCTATTTTACATATCACTGCAAGTTTTTAGTTGACCTAGATATAATAGTGCTGTTTAAATTAAGTGACAGAGTTGTGCTGCTTACAAGGCTTTTTATAATAAAAAATACCGGTTATTATCTTCTTTAAGGTACATATGCTTATAATTTAACAGTTCAGTACTCCCTCATGCACAGGAGTGTTCCATGATCTCAAGTACAGCAAACTTTAATAATTTTCCATGAAAATGTAATTGTGACTGGTGACGCTGACCTTTTAGGGTATCAGTGTAACTGTTTGCTGGCTTTAGAACTATGCACTCAGGGTGTTTTATTACTCTGTCATTGATACTGACACTTCTCCATTCTCTCTCCATTATCCAGCTGTTGCTGAGAGCATCTCACTAACTGATGCACAAGGCTTAAATCTCTGCCTGGCATGCCCTGTGTGGGTGCCAAGAGCCTGATGTTTGGTTGTTTGGTTGCATAACTGTGACTCTGTCAGCGCACACCAGATCCGTGATCGTGGCTCTGGGATCAGATTTAAGGCTTAGCTCTGTCCTTTGCTGTTGCTGCTGCTTCTAGGTCTCCTGGCTGCCCAGAGGAGCAGGATAAATGTTTGGCTGAGTGCGTTTGGCACTGCTGGAGGAGTGAAGCAGGTATTCTTGCGACCTGCAGCAGGGCTGCCAGGCACAGCCTGTGAGGTCTGACCCTTCTGTTTCCCTCAGGGTTGGGGGGGAAAAGCAGTCTTTTAGAATAGTGGAGTATTTTTGGTGCTCTGGTGCTATCAGGGAGTCTGCTGTGCAGTTCAGAGATAACAGTGAGTTCCCAAGGTGTCCAGGTCCAGGCACCAGAGGCTGTCCTCAGTTCACACAGAGGCACTGGAAGGTCCATCTACCTGTGGTCCAGGTGGATGGTAGGACAGTGCAAATCCTGGTGTTGTACAACAGGGCTGCTCTTGGGATGAAGGTGTGTCATTTGTGGCAGAGGAGGGGATGATTTGGCTGCTTTGGTATAAAGCAGTGTGTCACTGGAAGAATCCCGGCGGTCAGGCGCTGTTACATTTGTTTGTCTGAGTGCACACTCATTCCTGATGTTCTCCCTTTCACATACAGTACAATAAAAGTTCAAGAACTCTTAGATTTAGCTGTCTTCAGGGCCAGAGGCCTCTGTCTGCCAGGCTGTTGTAATGTCTGCAGCCTGTGGAGGTGCCTGATTTCACTGATTTCCTCGTGGGCAGCATTTGGTAGCAATGGAAAGTGGCACAGCAGTTCTGCAATAAAAGCCATGGCCAAGACAGGCAATTTCCCCAAAACCATTTATTTTTATTGCATCCTTGCTTCCCATTCCTCTGTGCTGGCTGAGCTCAGAGCATCTGACTGGTCCAGGAGAACAGGTGTGGGGGGGTTTTGCACACATGTTTTGGATACATCCATTTACCCCTACTCTCAGTCTTTTCCTAGAAAGCAGCAATAAGGCAATTTGGTTGCACAAAAAGAAGAGATGGAGTTTACCTTATCTCTGCACTCTACAGCCCGTCCATGCATATGTTGGAAATAAATGTAGATTTGGGGTGAAACTTGACAGTAGTTGTCCATTTTTACAGCTCTTTTCTTACAGTGGCTTTAAGAATATGATTGAAAGGAAGGTGTAAAGAACCACAGAATTGTTTCTTCACATCAGAAAATGTTTTCTCATTAGTTGACTTCAGTCCTGAAATACAGAGATTAATGTTACAGGTTTTAACAAAAAAAAAAAAGTAAAAAGCCCAGCATGGTTTGATCTATGTAATTACCAATCAGTGGTCTGGATCAAATGTAGAGGGGTAAAATGGGAAGTAGTAGGTACAACCTGTTGGAATAAAGTATGTTGTGTAGAGTTCAAATGTAAACTCTGTCTGCCCATCCTCTGTCTGTAAATTTAAGGTTGGATATTCAGGATTCAGTGTTAGTCATATTATTTACCACCAGAAGTACATGTAGAGTTGGGCACGGAAGTGTATATTTGGCTATTTTGAGCACAAAGAGAGGAGAATGGATCTTACTTGTGTTTTTAATAAAATCTCAAAATCTTCTGCATTCCTTAATTCCCCTAAAACAAACTGAAGGAAGAGGTTCACTGGATGTATGCCTTCTACTAGAGAAATACAAGTGTTAATTATTGTCTTATTCTTTTACAGTGAAATAAATGCCCGGCTTGATGCTGTGTCTGAAATTCTGCTGTCAGAATCCAACGTGTTTGGTCAGATTCAAAATCTTCTTTGTAAGCTGCCAGATTTAGAGAGAGGCCTCTGCAGTGTTTTTCACAAAAAGGTATAACCATAATTACAAGGGGTTATTATTTTCTAAACAGCATCATTCTGTCCTAGAGTATTTCCTTTGGGTTTGCATGTTTGTTTAAAAATGTTTTATTCTTAGCAAAACTGAGGCTGACATAATAAAGGGATGCAAGTTTATAAAAATTAGATTTGGTAGAATCTTACTTTTTTATCAGTGATGTGCTGATAGAAGAAAGTATGAGTAGGGTTCTAGAATACATACACTGGATTGGTAATGCTAAGATTTAGTGGCTGGATTCAGTGAGATGAGATGGTGCAATAGGCCCTTGTGCCATAAATTACTATTTCCCTTTAAAACAAAGCATTGTGTCCCTATGCTTATCTAAAATCACACTTGCAAGTGAAACCACTTGGCTCTAGTTAGCTGTTTTCAAATGAATGTTAATCTGTTTATAAATTCTGTAGTTTGGATATCACTTCTGCATTTCAATAAGAATCACTTGTAATGAGACACTGACAATTCTGTAGCAGATTAATGTGCTAATAGCACCTGTGCTGTACTTTATGTTCATTTATTTCACTGTTCTATTTAGAGGTTTTGTCAGTTTGTTTTAGATAAAGGAATAGGTAGGTAGAACAAGAGCCAGGCTGTAATTTTTTGGATAGTACAGCACAAAGTTTTCCTCTGTCTGAAAATCTGAAACCCAGTTTTTTAAAGCCCTGTTGTGTTGCAGTGTTTGGCACGTGGAAAGACTTGTGTATTTCAATGAATGGATACAGAGGTCCAGCCATAAGGAAGGTTGTGAAAAGAGGGAGTGTACACCAATTTGCCCATCCTCTAAAATTAACCATATTCACATGATAAAATTGTTTGGGTGTCATGGTTTGAGATAGCTCTAAAATCCAATCTCCTAGTCTAAGCCCCTTCCTACATCTCAACCTAATGTGAGATGGGTTTTTCCAGACAAAACACACCAGACTCAAAGTGGGGGAAAGGGAATATATTACAATGACTGTACAATAAATACCATATCACATTATACACACGATCACAATATCTCTACCATGACATATAGTATTTACAATGGACCAGATCT